CTACTAACAAAGTAGGTTTGAGCTATTACATTTGTTAGCAGATCTTTTTCTTCCTTCTAGTGATCCAAAAAAATAAAAAATAAAATATTAGAAAAATAGTTTTCATATTCAAAATCACAATATAATTAATACTTGAACATTCACGTATTTCTGGGTGTGTACCTTTCTAGTGGTGATTGCTAGAAGTAAATCCTACTCGTAGTGAAGTCATACAGTAGTTAGAAGCCATGAGGCTTACAATGGTCTTCATCATACCTGAGCCCAAAGGAATCTCATGATTCTTTACAGTGGGAATTGAGACCAAAGCTTAGGGCCAAACTGACATAGCTACATCAGTTTACACTCTCTGAGTCACAGTCTGAAATGTCTGCCTGTCTTCTGTTACAGCATGAAAAGCAAAATTGTCTTTCACTTGTTGCATTGACTAATCAAGTGAAAACGTAAAAAGTAGGGTAGAATTTTGTTTGGTTTTGCATTTTATCAAGAGCAAGAAACTACGCACATGAAATAGGTCATGGCATCATTTTGTCTTCTCTTAATGTGAATCGAAGACTCAGTTGTTGGTTGTGCTGGGACCTCCAGCACATCTTCAAAGCAAGAAACAGAAACAAAGAAACAACCCAAAAATTTACAAAGAAAGGAAATTAAATTTCACAGTAAATCTTTGTGTCTGACAAAATACACATTGCTGCGAGGATTAGAAGCTGATAACATCAGTCTAGTACCTCGGAGATTAAAGTAAATTGTTCTTCAAAATCCTATTGCATTTATTTCTTTGGAACAGAATTTAGCGATTTAGCACTATGGTCACTAAATCTTTGTTTTATTTTCCTGTGGTCGTTAAGTTAGAAAGTTTATAGTATATGCTTGATATCATTGATTTTAATGCCATGAATTTGCAATGTACATGAGCCAGGGGAGATAACTCTACAAAACAACACTTTGTGATTAACTATTTTTGACTTAAATAGATGAGAAAAATGAGTTTTAAAGAGGGTTTTGAAAGACCTAAATTCATCCACACTTATAAGACAGATGTAGGCCAAGGGTTTTTTTGCTAGTCTAATAAGACCCCCCTACTAACTGGGAGGTGTTTTCCAAGGGAAGGAAGCTACCAGGGCTGGTGGGAATTCTGGTGGCACCCACTGCCAAGTTCTTCCACCCAGTTCAGGAAAAATCCTGTGGTACTAGTGTCTGAGAACTCCTCATTTGGTGAACGTGCAAAATACATACTGTTTCACCTAAACATAGTTAGCTTAAATACAACATATTTACATATATCAATATGGTTAATGTGCATATATTACATGTTTTGTGTGCACTTTTTTTTTAGAGATGCTTAACAGAAGTATCCTTGTTGGTCCAATTTTATCAAGGTTTTTATGTGTTTTTTAAGGTCTTATTTCTATCCCAAGATTCATGTGAGACTGGATGAAATAATAGACTTTTTTTCTGGATGTTTCATTTCCTTTAAGTCTGGCATTCTGGCTGTCTGAAGCACTTCAGCTGTGGAACACTCTATTCTAAGAAAAAAAAAATGCTCAATAAATCTGTTCATAGTTAACAGTTACAGGGTTATGCAGGATCATTTTACCAATACCTGCTAAAATCTGTTCTTTACATCAACTCTCTAGACCTTGTCATTAACTTGACACTATGATATTTGTCTTGTATTAGATATAGGTATGCAGAAACAAGATGTGTCTGGGTTGTTTTCACTGTGATGCAAAGTTGTGTAAATTATCTGTGTCAGCGGTTTCCTGTTAACTAGGACATCATCATTCTCAATAACTGGGTTTAGATCTCCCTGTATATAAATAAATCTGTGGGAAATTACTTCAGTCATGACTCATCAAGCCTTACTTAGCAGATTTGTGATAGGTTTGTAATGCTAAATTTTTACATAAAACCACTCATGAGCAAGCTAAAATAAAAAGGCAACTGTATAACATTCATAAATCAAAAATGTTTTTCTTAAAAAAACTGTGCATATTTACCCTTTCCTATACCTTCTACTGGGCACATAGCTGTTTTTTAATTCTATTGTCTTTTATTTAATTCTATTGCTAAACATACCGGCTTTTTAGTGTTTTCCTTGCAGATGCCCAAGTCCCTGTTAGGAACAAATAATGCATCTTTCCACTAAGCACACATTTTTCAGAGGTCACTTTGATATCTTGTTTGTCTTTCATAAAACATGTTTGGACAGAAGTGGACTGTATTCATTCCTTTAGCCTTAAAAGAATCCTAGAAGCAAAACCAAGGCTCTACTTTTCTGTTATTTTCTACATGTTCCTCAGTTGCTACTGAGCAGCCAGTATTTTAAGTTAAGTACCGATGGATTCTTGGTGCCTAACTTGGGAGATTGACTGACAATACGGCACTCAACTGGTTGTAATAGACTCCTATTCATTATACAGTTGGTAATTCAACAAGTGACAGATTCTAATTTTCAGTGTTAGTTATAAGGTTATGACTAGTCTTATTAGTCTGCTCGGTGAGGCTCAACACACCTAACTTTACTTTTTTGAAGTGGTTTTGAAGTGGACTTCAGCTTCAATTCTACTTTAACAGTCTACTAAGGATATTAGAAAGGAAGGTGCTAAATCTAGGCTCTGTGTCAGCATAGCATAGCATAGCCTTCAACAAGGAAACTCAACATTTTGATTTCTACTTCTGTGCATTTGTAGCTTTGCTCATAGGTGGTCTTACATGTGAATGATGTTTCCATCTTTTTATTAGTTTTAGGATCAGGCTGTAAATTCTGATGGTGCTAAAGCATGGCAGAGATAAGTGCTTAAAGGACTGCCTGCCTCCTGATGAGCTGCACTTGCAGCAACAGCATTATTTTTAGGATATTGCCATTCAAAAATACAGGTTGCTTTTCAGACCAAGCACACTTTCTAGGCCTGCAAAATTAAGCAAAAGAAGCATTTTAGAAGAGGTTTCAAAGTGGATCAAAGTTAAACAGTTTGCTAACGGCAGAGCTGTGCTGCACTAAGCCCACAGGCTGTTCTGCACGTCCCGGGGTGTGGGTCTGTGCTCCCAAAGCACAGGCGTAGCACTGCATGCATTACGAGGCAGTGTTTTCAGTGAGGCATTACAATTGCCTAATCCAGGTTGGGCCTTTTCTAGAAGCTGTTTAATCTTTCAGCATTTGCATAATGATCTCAATAGTGTAATTCTTGTGTGACAGCATGGAGAAACTGTTTCTGATTTAAAATATTACCAGAATAATGAAATAAAAATTGACTCTATCATCTTTCAGGATTAAGACTACCGTAAATTTAAATGTTTAAAATATGTGGGGCCAAGTTGACTCGTAGTTTAATCCTAGTGACATCCTTAGAGTTAAATGAGATATGCATTGACTTTGTGGTACTTGAATAATATTAACAAATTTAAAAACCTAAATGAGGAGGTAGACTCTAATTGGCAATTAGAAAACAAAAATCCATCACAGTGCTATTTCATCAAACTAATACTTATTTTCCTGGTATTTTAATTAAAACATGATACTCATACAAATTCTGAATTAATTAGATGAAAAAAAGACAAGTGCTTTCTGTGAATATGTGAACGGTAAGAGAGTCAGTCTCTAGTTCTGAAGGGTAAACTGTTAAAATTTGCAAGACTGCACAGTAGGTGAGAGTAGGCTGAGTTCCCATTTCCATCTTTCTGAAGATATTAAAATAAGGCAACACAGATGGAAAAGAAGAGAAGTTCCAAGCAGCCATTCAGAAACATTTCTTTGAGATGATAAAAAATGAGGAATCATCTAGCAGGCATGCTCACTGAAAGAAGACTTCTGTAGTAATTCAAAAAATAATTATTTTCCATTTCTATGGGAAGGTCAACTAAGAAACCAAATCATAGAATGATAATATTCATCTGTGTGATACAAGTGATCTTTTTAAGATGGGAATGCTGTCTTTTAATGGATTTTTTTCAATAGAACTAACATGTAATATTTAATTTATTGAATCTGGTTTTTGACACCTGAGAGTTTGAGCATTGTTTTTATTCTCCACAGTAAATATAAAAATACAGTATTTCCACATACCGACACTCTGTGGGATTTTTTCATGCCTCAGTCATGGTTTCTCAGCTTGGCTTCTGTCCATGTGTCTTGATAAACACGTTATGTTAGTATATGCAATTGTATTCAGTGTCTTTGAATGATGAAGTATATGATAGGATACAATTGCCTAGGATAACACCTCATTTCCCCAAAAAGTAGTAGATAACCTACCTTTCATTTATTGTGTGTTATAAACTGTAGTTCTTTTTATTTGCTGTGGTAAAACAAGGTGAGATCAGGAAAGTTTGCATGATATTTAAATGTTTATTCTTCATAGAGCATACCCTGTGTCCTTTAAAAAGATATTAAAATGTGGTCTTGGTCCACAGGTGGGAGAGTTGCATATTCCACTACCCTAATTTTGTGGGATGTTATGAATTAATTTAAAGAGGGACTATGAAAATCAGCACAGGGATTTGACACTACACTGACTGAAGATACCAGATGACTCTTCAAATTATTGGTGTAGCAGATTAACGTTTATCCTTCATGTGTGTGTATGTACCACCTGCAACCTTGCATAAACATCTTGGCCCATTGGGCTCCCCAGGGCTGCTTGATTCCATGTTTCCACATTTGCACACTAAAAGAGAGGAAGAGACGAAAAAGGCACCATCCTCTCACAGCATGCAGCAAAGCTGCAGTGAGCAGGTGTTTGTTTCAGACTAAAGCAAAAAGGGAAATTGAGACTCAATGACTGATGCTTTTCCTCTTGAGTATCTCCGGAGGTAGGCGAAAAATATGCTGCTGTTTTGCTCTGGGGCAGACAGTTGGAGTCCCGCAAAGCCTTTGAACATGATAGCTGTATTTAGAATATGAATCCTTCGTGGTGGCGACTATTCTTGTATCTATGATAAGAGCCACCGGGCAGCCCTGTGTTGTGAATAGTGAATAATCAGCATGTTTTCTCTGTTTTCAGGAGATTTGTCCTTACCAAGATGAGAGCCATTCTGAAAGGAGCTTTCGCAGGACTTGTTAACCTAGAGAAAATGTATGTATTGTGTCAATGCTTACTGGGAAACAACCATTTCACTTTAAACAGTATTTTCTGGCTACAGTTTCTGCTTTTACTGCTTCAGTCTGTAAGCAAGTCCCTAACAAAACGTTTTTGTCACATATATATATATATATATTTAACAGCAAGGAAGCAGTTCTTGCGTCTTGGTCAAAGGCTAATTCAACACGAAGCATCATTGTGATTAACAAATAAAATCCATAGCAGGAGTCTATGGGAAACTGTTTAATTTGAGAACTTTGATTTAGGTTGTCATAAAGCAGTGGAAGATTAGAAAGGAAAATGCTGCTATTTGTAACAGGTCAGTCAATTCTCTTTGATTACTGAAAAAATAGGATAATTTTGTGCATGTTTAGAGTCCTCTGGGATGTGGGCAACAAGTTTCTTACAGCCGCTTGTTATGAACATCTTAGCACATAAGGAGTAAAGCATCTAATTTGCATGAATTTTAGTGATGAGTCTGAAGATAAAATTATGAGCATCTTTGAACTGATATATCACACACCCATTACGATTCTGTTGTGTTTGTACTGCAGCCCTCCACCCTGAGAGTAAAAGTGCTGAATAGTGTTTTTCCTAGTATTCTCTAGTTACAGGAAATCTATGGGTTATCTCATGTTAGCACCAGCAAAGATAATTGTCACTTTCAAATCTGAGCTGTTCTGTGGCATATGTTTACTTTTGTGAATTATTTCTTGTGTGACCAAATTACACTATTTGGAATATGCCCAGTCTTGGGCCCTTACTGATAAGGTCAGTCTTGGACCTACATTTGTCCAGGTGTTTGTCCATGAGTGGTCTGAGTGGGAGCAGGGAATGTGCTTTAGTGGGAAGGCCTTTTTCAGTGAAGTGCGGGTAATGACAGAACTAAAAAGAAATAGATTCTCGCCATTTCTCTTTCTTTGTCATCTTCTCCTCTGCCTCATACCCTTGTAGATGTAGGAAAATTGGCAAAAAGAGAGGAGATGGAGGGACAACAAAAGACAGGGAAATGGAAGGAAAAAATTTTGAGCCTTAGGAAATACAGGTGGATGAAGGCAAGCAGTGGATGTGCAAGAAGAATTCAAGAGCTTCTGGTTTTGTCAGGAGTTAACAGGAAAAAAAAAATGGCTCGATGTCGCTAGATTTTTGGCACTAATTTCTCCCCAGATCTGCTGGGTTCCTTTTAGCCTAGTCCTTAGAGAAAATCATTAAGCTCTCTGGACTGTGAAGTGAGTTGCAAAGTGCAATGTAAACTGCTCACGTTACCTTTAATTACTCAGAAACCATATGTCAGCTATGTATGAACTGTAATGATTACACTGAATAGGTTGTCTCTAAGTGATGATTTATTGTTAGCACAAAAAATTATATATGGAAATGAGCTCAATTTGAAAATATATGTGTTTACTGTCAGTACATGGAGGAGAAATGGGCACAAATCATTTATAGCAAAATGTCTTTGAGAATAAAAGGGTGATAAATATGCAAATGAGACCAATCAGCATCAACAAAGATGCAGTATTTGCAGATGATATAGCAAACAGATAAAATTTGATATAGACTACAAATCCTAAATCTAATGCATAAAAATCCATCAGAAAGATTCATAATAATGTAGAGACAAAAAAAGGTCCATAATCAAATGGTATGTTTGCGTATAAAAACACAGCCTTTGTATGAAAGCCTTTTGTCTCTTGCAAGATCATACACAAAGGAAGATTAAAGCAAACTGCAGTCTGTTTAAGGGAAACAGCTATTAATAATATGATACCTCTATGGGGTAAAATATGGATAGCCTAATGTATACAAATGATATGTTTGAATGTAGTGTAAATGTTGTGCTTTCATAAAACTAAAAAGGGAGAATAATCAAGGGAGTGATAGTAGTTCCTAACTCTGTGACTAAAGAAAAGCAGTGTCTGGTAAAATCCAATAGCTCTGTAGACATGATCTTTATCACTTCTAGATCATTTCTAACTGTGCTTCTGAGAATGGGATAGGTCTTAGGGCACACAAGGTGTGCAGCTGATGGTGGACTTGAAAATCATCGGTTTGCAATGAGTAGCTGGACACAGATGAGTCCTCCATAAGAATCTTAACTCTTTTCTGGTAACATTCAAAGTAAAGAGAAACTTTTGAATACAGAGACCAAAAAGTTCTCGTTCTCAAAAAAAAATCAATTTTTCAAAATTCATTTTTTTGCAGTGTTTGCTTTCTGTGTGCATTTTATTTTTTTCCTAAAAATAATGAAACATTTGGGAACTATGACCAAATGCATTTTACCACAAAATGTTTAATATTTGTCTTAGTACCTACGAAAGACTGTGCTTATTTCTCCCCACACCTCTTCGTTTTGAATCAAATGTCTTATTTGGACTGTCAAAATGTTTTCTAGAATGAATAGATGGTAGTGACCACGACTTAGTTTGAAAATGCAGTGTGGCCTGGAAAGGCTGTCATGGCGAACGCGGTCTGCCCTCCCTGTTAAGCTCCAGTTTTAGTTACCAAATTAAAATTTAGTTACCAAATTAAAGAGATTCAGGTGATTTTTTTATTTATTTTTCTAAGTTTTCTGGAAGAATGAGAGCCCGTATGAAGCATCTACAGCTCATTATTTTCTTCTTGCTCATCTAAATTAATTTTTTTTACTGAAAAATCATGAAATGTCTATTCTGCAGATTATCAGGTAGTGAAATAACTTTTTACATACATGTTCTGGGAAAAAGCTTTTCTTAAGTAAATGTTGAGCTTACTAAATATTTTGACTTATCTTAGATTTCTCTTGCTATAGTGTAATTTAATTGTTCTTATAGAAAACTCTTCAGAAACGGCAGATCTGAGAAATACTTTAATACTGGTTTATTGCTACCAGCTCTCCAACTTCTGTATATCTCTGGCTTTCATGTTCATCTAGCAAATGGGTTTTCAGGGAAGCACATAGTTTTAGTCTGTTCCTAAGAAGCCTAACCAGCTGAAATGTGACATCTCCTCTAGCTTCCTGCTTAATCAACCTGCTACACTCCAAGAACTAATTAACCCTTTAGTTACTAAATTAAAAGGTAACACCATGTAGGCACATGCCTAGCAAAATCAATTTAATACAAGCTGCTCAGTATGCAGCTGCCATGTCATCTTCAACCTGTGCTGAAAAGGCTTAATTTGGAAGAAAGTCTGAGGCAATACTGAAGCCACTACCTTTTCTTTCTTGCTAACTTTCCTTCTGTTTCTGCAGTGTAGAGAAGTAGATTTCTAAATGTTGATCTAACAATGCTTGAATCTGGCATTGGTAGGAAATTTGGTCTGAACCTCAGTAGCTGAACTAAAGATGGGGAAAATCTGAAAAGACCTATTACCAGAGGGGAAAAAAAAAAAAAAAAGAAACCCTATGATGAGGGCTCTTTTGCTTTTGTTATTAGAGCAGATCTTCATCTGTTCTGAAACCAGCATAGCTTCATTAGCTTCAGTGGAACCAGACTGATTTGCATGTACGAGGAAACTGTGCCACGTGCAGTTTAGATTGATGTTAACTTTTCTTAATATGGTAACTAAAAAATAAAATTAAAATAATATTAAATTAAAATCATTTAGTGTCATATATTTTGCCACTCAGCATTACAGGAGTAGTGAGAAAGACTGAACTTAATGGTTAGGATGATATTACTACTCCAAGGAAACATGAATGTCTCATGCCCCCTTTGAAAGATCAAATGACAGAAACACATAACGCTAACTCCGAACTGTAAGTTTACATTCTGGCATGAGTGAGAGGACAGAAGAGGGAGTCTTCAGCCAAAGAGGCTGTTGTCAATGGGGACAAAATTGCAGCCCCATGTCGCCAGTGAGGAAGATAGAGACAGTCTGAGGAACCTGGTCTGTCTGCGCTGATGCTGCCTTTTGAAACACACCTGTAATGGCTTTTGGAGAGAAAAAAAAAATAGTCCCTTTTAGAACTTTGATCATGCTCCTGATCCGTATCATGGAAGCAAGATAATTCTGTGTAATCAGCTTTCTCTGTACAGTAATATTATAGATGAAGAGGTGTGACTGCCTTACCTGTGCAAGCTAAATAGGTTTTACTTCTGAATTCTGAGGGACGGTCCACTTAAAATCTATAGAAAATTATTAATTCTTTCAAAAGATTTGGACTAAAGCATAGTGTTTTCTATGATTCATTCTCAAATCTAACTTTTGTGCAGCCCAAATAAATTCAGCCACATATGTGATGAACTCTGTAAACTGCAAGACCTTAAGAAGAAGTTATTGGCAATATTTTCTAGTCTGGAGTAATGGGAGAAAGGGATTTCTTCAAGTTCTTGGCAAAGGCGTGTTTTAAGAACATGAACCACACTGTGGTCAACAAAACTTCTGTACATAAATCCTTGACGAGCTCTGAAAATGCTGGAAAGTGTTAAAACTCCTAGGGTTGGAGAAATCTGCCAGAACTCACAATCCTGGGAACTGAGGTCTTCTGTCATTGGAATGCAGCAGGATTTTTTTCTGTACAGCTTCCCCTTAATTAGGTAAAATTGGTCTAGATCGTATATTTATCCCATCAGTCAGTCGTTCACTCTTTCACCTCCTTTGTTACTGGGACTCTTGGCCCAGAGATGATTCGTATCATGATGCTGGTCTCCTGTCACCAGGATACCTGAGCACCGAGTTACGTCATATGTATAAGCTGATATATGATGCTAAAAAATCTTTCCGATTTGTCCCTGTTGGTTAAAAGCCAGGTCACACCGCAGATCAGAGTGAGTTATCTTTATTGTTTTGTTTCAGCTAGAGAGAGATAGCTGGGGACACTGGGGATTTACCCCTCAGCAGAGTGGTTTGATAGTGCTTGGTAGCGTGCAGCCTAAACGGAGAGGAGGGGACCCGAAATTTCTTGTTCGGGTGTGTGTTTGTTTGTTTTTTCAGTGTATCATGTGCTGCATTCCATCATTTGGTATCCGAGAAACTGTGATTAAAAAAGATCATTAAAATTGTTTTGAGAA